CAGATGAGATGCTCATTTCGCAGATGGGGCATCTCCATCTGCGAAATCGTTGGCTAATTTTGTAATTTCGATTTTTTTTGGCTATTTTTGTAATATCATTAATGTAAATAGCTATTTTTATCATTTTCTCAAATTATAATCGTTAATTAAAATAAATATGTTAAATTCAAAAGTTAGTTGATTAGCTATAGCATTTTCTGTTATATAATTATATATATTTATAATATAGAATAATTTGTTTTAATTAAAATAATATTTTAATTTAATGTAATTACTTAATTAGTGTGCTTTAAATACAAAAAAGTAACAAACACCATAAAATTAGCATTTTTATGTTTGTAATTAATTATTATTATTTATTAATCAAGACCTCTTAAGCATAACACAAGGCAAAATAAAACTACTATCTTTTATTTTATTTATATCCATTTCTATTATACAAGCATATAAGTATATAACTGTTGCATACAAAATAATTATTTTCAACAATTAACCAGAATACCAATAACCAAATACCCCTAAATGCATCGCATTGCTAAGTTTTAGAAAAATCATGGCTTTCAAGTTCGATGTACATTTTTGTGGGGAAGAGGAAAATGATTGATTGGCAAGTTCCGACTTCCGTATTCCGATTGGGGTTCCAATAGGCCCACTCTTGAAGAAACCAATTTGGGCTGATCTTGATTATGAAATATTGAAATCTGCTGAGTCTTAGGCGTAAGGCCCGTAGTCAAGCATCGTGCTCGAGCTCGACTGCTCTCGTGTTCACTTTCTGTCTTCTATCTGATTCTACATTTCCACCGTTAGCTGTGTATTTTGATCAACATACACTCAATTTACCATTTGGCCATCTGGGTGGAAATTTGTTAAGAAAATAAGCTTCGACTGAGGTTTTACAGGTACGCCTCCAATTCAAATTCCCGCTAATTTTCTTTCTCAGAAATTGTAACTAATTTGGTGGGATGGTGGTGGTATTGGGAATGGGGATGTGTTCTACATGATGTATAATTTGCGTTTCAAGTTAGGGTTTTTTCATTGCTTGTGATATGTTTTTTGTGGGTTGATAGAACAGGTGCACACAAGGTGTTCGACGTATTGTCCATGAGAATCAATTGAATATGGTTTTAATTTTAATGTTGGCGCATTAGACATCCGATTCATTTTCTTCTCTCTTTCTATATTTGCGATTCAATTCAACCAAGCTTTGAAAACAATGACTAATTAATTGACTCATCACTGCAGATGCTCTAATGGCAAATGTTCCACCTTTTCAACCACTACCTAATCCTCAAGGGATATACAATCATGCATTTCAAAACATGGGCGAAGTTTCAACAAAACCACCAGAAAAAGAAACATCTACTACACTCTTGATACGTCATCTTCCTGAAGCTATTCCCCATGATACCCTCACTCGTCTTTTTTCCCATTATGGTGCTTCTTCTGTTCGTCCATGCACTACTGGAAGGTACTGTGATTCACATTTTTCATAACTTCATTCTCAACTGTTGAAACTTGAAAGATAAAATAATCTTAACTTAATGTTTTCTTGATTTGAATTAATTGACATGAGTCTTATTAATGCAGGATGAGAAACTGTGCATTTGTTGATTTCAATAATGAAGGTTTAGCAACTCAAGCACAACGCCAATTGAATGGGTAATTAATTAACTAATTCAAAGCTTACAAATTTTTATATCTTTATAGAATTTTAAGTTATGTAGCTGATTAATATCCAATCAGGTTACGTTTTCTTGGTAAAGTCTTGTCAGTTGAGAGAGCTACAACATCACCGCATGATACCAAAACTCAGCAAAACAAACCAAAGTTAGGGAACAACGCCATGTCAGCAAAGGATGATGCTGATGTTGCCAAAGATTTGAAGCAAGAATCCATGACCAAGTCCACATCAGCATTTGAACCTATTGCTGAAAAACTTGGGGTGGAGTACCCTTTTCCTCCTCACCTTGAGTAAGTTTTCCTTGTTTTAATTTTTAATCTTTGTATATTAACTAACATTTGTAAAGTTCTTTTTTTTTTTTTTTTTTTAATTATTAAACTAAATTAATTACTTAACTTCAGATATGCATACCCTCCACCAGATGGGAATATCTTGACCAACATTCTAAATGCTCTTATTGCTGTTCCTCGCTTCTACACACAGGTGATATTTTTCATGTCTAAATTTGTCATTTTAATTTTTATGTTATAATACATAATTATTTATATCACTTGTTTCTTTATAGGTGTTGCATTTGATGAACAAAATGAATATTCCAGCCCCATTTCGTTCAGCACTACCCACCCCACCCCTACCCCCTACCCACCCACCCCCACCCCCTCCTGTAGTTTCACATCTCTCAAGTGGTGAATCAGAATTGGAGTCTTCAGATGAGGTAACTAATTGTCTAATTCCATTTTCATGTCAATATAATTATAATTATAATTTCACAAATACTTTATTTATACATTTTTAGGAAAATGTTGGAGGTAAGAGAAAGCGTATAAAACGGGAATCCATTGTGGGTCCCGCTGTTGACAAGGATGTAGCACATGAAGCTGTTGGATTGAGAGCTGCAACTTTAGTTCCTAAAGAGATTCCATTGATAAAGAAGAAAAATCCCGTGTTGCAGGTTTTTATTTACCATTTAAAATTAACACTTTGTTTAATATCTTTTTTTTACTTAATATTAAATTTCTTTTTTGTTACAGATTAAAATTACTCCTAAACAAACTCAAACTGAACAAATAGATGATGAAATAGCAGAAGATGTAGAGGAGGTGGAGAATGAGAATTTAAGTAGTAAATCTTTTGCTAGTGTTGAAGATTTAGAGCATGGAAAATTACCCCCTGAAGAAATTTTATCACTTCCAATGTTTAAGGTAAACTGTAATTTTACTTTTTGTAGAGTAAATAAGATTTATATTTATTGTAAGTTTTACTTTTTTGCAGAATTATAATGCTGGAAATCCTGCTCCTGTGTTGTACATAAAAAACTTGTCAAAAGATGTGGTTGTAGATGACTTCTATTTTGTCTTTGGTAAGTAGTGATCAAAGAGGGAATGGAATTGAACATAACAATGGAATGTAATGATTGATTCCATTCCATTACCTTTTGTTGTAGGTTCATTCTTTGGAAGCATTGAAACAGCTAAAACAAATCTTTCTGTGAAGCTAATGCAGGTAACAAATAACAATTCAAAATTAATATTTCATAAATTCATTCAAATTTCTTATAATTAAAAATCTCATATTTCAAGTCAAATAAAGTCAAACTTGTTTTTGGGTTTCAGGAGGGAAGAATGAGGGGTCAAGCATTTGTAACATTCCCATCAGTTGACATTGCTCATCGTGCTCTTGTATGCTTTTCAATTTCTTTTTAGTTAAAATTAGTTTCGTTAATTTTATATGATTACTTGAAGTAATTATTAATTATTATTATTATTTTTTTTTTTTGCAGAATTTAGTAAATGGATTTGTGTTTAAAAGCAAGCCAATGATTATTCAGTTTGGCCGGAATACTTCAGCTAGTAAAACATAAAACCCGATTAAAAAAATAGGTTTGTACGAAATAAATGTGACACTTTTTAAAAAAGAAAATAATACTTTTTCATCTTTATGCAAAAGTGATTTTGACATGAACACATGCCTACCATGAAAATTAGGTTTTGTACGAATAAAGGTGACAAAAGGTCGAAGTGATTATCAGTTTATGTCTCTCCTTTGTGTTCATACGAGTTTTATCCAAATAACATCCGCTTCTTTTTCAACACAGGGGTAATATCGTCAATTTACGTTCTCAAGCTTTAACGTATGTGGATCCACGTGGGTGATGAAGGGATCGGTCACGTGCATCTCCATCTACCATATAGGACCTTATCTATATATCGTGGTCCTGACGCTTGAATTTCATCGCTTTCTAATATTTACATTTTACCCCCATGAGTTTTATAGGATGTTCATTTTCTAGTATGATATTTTAACGTTTAACTGATGGTTTGTATTATTGTATATCTCTAGTTTACATGTTAATTATTATTGGTCCAAAAACAAATTCTCTACAAAGTTGTGTGAAAACAATGCTAATTGATTTTAACAAGTATTTCATGAAGCAAAATAGAGATTCCTTTTAACAAGAGCACATGTTACAAAATTGTAATAAGATGTCATATAATTAATAGACACCATTTCAATTTGCTCACAAGTATTACAATATTCAAATTCAAACATGTAATATAGGTGGTTTTGGAATGGTATATGTAAGGAAAGAAGCGAATATTTAACAGCTGTTAAATTTTTTTTTTTTTAGAAAATATTATAGGAACATTTGTTAGTAATAAAATTGGTTTAGAATACAATTTGAGTTTGGAAAAACTAAACTCAAAATTTGAGGACTGAAATAGACAATTATATAAATACAAGGGGGTAAAGTGTAAATCAAAGAAGACAGATCCTACTGTCATGAACTGGTAAACCACATCATCCACCGTTGGATTACGTTATCTGAAATAAAATAGGAAAAGCGGATCCTAGAAAAAGTGAAACTATCCACAAAGAAAAAAAAAGGACCCCACAAATTTCTTCAATCTCAATTTCGAAACCGCTTTATACTCTTACACGTATAGTATAGATTACACAACAATCAATCACAGAGGCATAGTCTCAAGAACCCCCTTTTTCCGATTTTGACTAAACGCAATCCAAAAACCTTTCATCCTGCATCTCAAAAAACCCTTTTCTTACATTCAATTTGAATTCGCGAAACTCAGGAATCATGGCTAAGATTATAAGTAACGATTATATGTTTTCTACCTGTAACCATGGTTTACTTTGCAATAAACCGGACAAATCGTCTCCTGTAATGGTAAAGATGCCGGCGTCTTCTTCAAAATCGGCAACATCTTTGACTTTACGATCATCGGCAGACGGTGATTTCTTTGGTCGGAAGGTGGCTTTAGGCGGTGGTCAACAAAGAAGAGTCTTTAACCAAGCAGCTGCTGCATCTGATGTTAAGGTTTGCTTTCTGATTTCAACTCATTAACCTTTTTCTTCATTCAATGTTGAATCTTACAAAATTTTATAGAATTTGCGTGATTTATGATAAAAGGGTTTCTGCAATTGCTCGTTATTGCTTTTGATTGTTGCGTATACTTTACCCTGTTATGAAGATTTGGGCTTTAGTTTTTTTCTCATAGCATTAAGCATAAAAATCGTTTCTTTACACCCAAAAAACAAATAAAAAGAAGAACTTGATGACATAACCAGATACAAATTCTTACAGAATACATAAGTACTGTTTCACCATGTTCATAAAACTCGGGAATGGAAGCGACTTCATGAGCTTCTTTGATGCTGTTCTTCCTTTCGATTGTTAAACTTTCTTGTTTCTTCCAATTGTCGGTTTCTTTGGGCATATGTCTGGTGGATCAAACTAATTTACGAATCTTGAACTTGTGATGAAACAGATGAGTTTAAGCATCGGGAAATCTTTAAGATGGTGGGAGAAAGGTCTTCAACCAAACATGAAGGAAATAACAGGCGCAGAAGATCTTGTTGAATCTCTTCTGCTCGCAGGCGATAAACTTGTTGTCGTTGATTTCTTTTCACCTGGTTGTGGTGGATGCAAAGCTCTTCATCCAAAGGTTCGTTTCAATTTCAATTTCAATTTCAAAATCAAATCTTTAATTTCTCCCAATCTTCAATCTTTAACCAACACCCATTTGATTTTTCTTACAGATATGTCAGTTAGCAGAGATGAATCCAGACGTACAATTCCTTCAAGTGAACTATGAAGATCATAAATCCATGTGTTATAGCCTTAACGTTCACGTTCTTCCATTCTTTCGATTTTACAGAGGGGCTGAAGGTCGTGTTTGTAGCTTCAGCTGTACAAATGCCACGGTTCGTGTTCATATTCCTCAATCTTTTCTTTTTTCTTTTTGTTTTAATGATAGAAAAAGACGATAATTTGAAGCTAATGACATGTAATTATCATACAGATCAAGAAATTTAAAGATGCATTAGCAAAACACAAACCTGATCGATGCGGTTTAGCTCCTGCAAAAGGTCTGGAAGAGAAAGAACTTGTTGCACTTGGTGCAAACCGGGACCTTTCTTTTGTGTACACTCCAAAAGAGGTATCGGTATCAGTATCAGTACCAGTATCACCAGTATCAGTATCTGGGTCGTTATCAGAACCGAGTCTACCACTTCCACTTCCTCTTCCTCGGCCCTTGAAGTCAGCATTGGAAAAGAAAGATGAGAGTAAAGATAAAACCTTGGTATCTTTTGGGAGATGAGTTGTGTTTAGTATCTTCTAAAGGGTAATGTGTCTAAATGTTAGTGTGTGTATAGGGTACCTTTGTACTATGTTAGTGTGTGCTTTTATTTTGTAAATAGTGCAAAAGTCGAGCCCGAGTTTGTGTGAAGCAATATGCTAGGAAGTGTGTGCAAATGTTTTCTCATTTTCTTGTGGTTTAGAAGCCTAAATGTGTGTGTGATGTGTATATATGAAGGAAGATGACTATCTTGTAAACGTGGTTTTAATGGAAGTTACAAGTTAGAATCTTTCTACATTTCGATGTTACTGCCTCGCTTAACAAGTAAAAGAGAAGCACATGAAGCGTATTTACTCGTACTTGGTAGTTCATGAATTAATGTGTAGTTCATGAATGAATGTGCATATGTAAAATTTAGGATATACATTTTGCAAAACTAAGTTATTTATTTATTTATTATTATTTTTTTGGAACGACAAACTATAATAATCTAGATTTCGTTTGAAATCATAACCTTTCAAATAAAAGAGTTACTAGGTCAAATGTTTTTTGGTGGCAAAATTGACTGGAAGCTTAGTTTAGTTTTTATGTGTATAAAAGTTGGGCAAGTAATTGATGTTAAAAACAATTTGAGGTAGTTTTTGAATTAGAAATTTTATATTTGAAATAATAACATTAAGTTATTTAAAGTTGATTTTTGAATTAAAAGTTTTTTATTTATAATAAAAATATTAAACTCATATTTTATTTAAAAAATTAGTAGCTTTTGAGTTTGAAATTTTATACTTGAAATATAAACATTAAGCTATTTAAAGTAGCTTTTAAATTAAATTTTATTTTTTTATTTTTTTATTTTTTATCTAAAGCAAAAATATTAAATTCATATTTTATTGAGAAGCTTAGTCGCTGTTAAATTTGAAATAAAAACATTAAGCTATTTAAAATAGCTTTAGATTAAAAGATTTTTATTTAAAATATAAATATTAAACTCACATTTTATTGAAAAGCTTTTATTGAAAAGTAGGTTTTGAATTTGAAATAAAAACATTAAGCTATTTAAAATAACTTTTGAATTACATGTTTTTTTTTTATTTAAAATAAAAATATCAAGTTCATTCTTGTGAATAAAGTTTAGTAGAAGAAAGTTTAGGTTTACTGAAAATCTCCGCAAAAGTAATTTTAAAATCTACACAAGAAATTATTTGAAATAGCTTTTTTAGAAGTTTTTAATTTCAAATAAAATTATTAGCTAGGTTCATACTCCTAAACCAAGTTTTTTTTTTTTTTTTTTTTCTTCGAATTCTTTAAAAATTAAAAACTAAAAATTGTTTAAAAAAACTCGTTATTGAACATAATCTTAAACTACTCGAATATAAGATTAGAACTTGAAGAAATTGAATGATATGAAATAATCTCATAATTTGTAAAGCAATCCGAACATAAAATCAAAACTCGAAGAAAATTAAATGTTATAAAACGAAGAGACGATGAATATAATTATCACCCAATAAGCGAGAAGAAAAAGCCAAGCATGAGAAGCAGAAAGAAGGATGTAGCCAAGGACAACTTGCCGAATGGATTATCCATGCATGGCTGCAATGCACTGTAAGGACATTAATGGCTGTCGGCAAGTCATCCTTGGCTGCATCCCAACTTTTCTGCGGCCACCATGTTAGGCCATGGGTGAACCTGCAACTCCTTTAACGAAGAAGATGGAGTGGGACTGTGGGAGTAAATATGGTGAGGAAAGAGAGGTCTTATAATGGGAGTGAATGCCGGTATATATATACGCATTCATGGCAATCAATCTCTTCCACGTTTCGAGAAACAATAAATAATAACTGATGTCGGTTTTATGCATCACACAAATTATATATATTTGATTATTAATGTATGATATATGGAAAAAGGTGGTGGTATAGTATATATTATATATAAATAATATAATTACCAAAGGTATATATATATATATATATATATATATATATATATATATATATATATATATATATATATATATATATATATATATATATATATATATATATGAAAAAGTGAATAGCATTAATGATATATAAGCTTAGGTATCCAAACTCACCATACTATATCGTTTTGTATCATATAATACATTCTAATTGTCCAATGTTATTATAATTTAACTTTTATCTTGATTTACTACCAAGGTTTTTACAAATTACACATTTATCTTCCTATTGTATAGTTTTCATTTTCAAGTATAATATATATAACCTAGTACGTGTACGGTAAAAAGATGTGATGAATTTCGAAAATCTTGAATGTAAATCACATTAGGGGTGGAAGTTTAAGAACATTATAATGAATATATAAAATAAAACGATGTATTATGATGTGTTTGGAAACCTAAGCTTATATACCCTTAAGGGTATATTCACTTTTTCCATATATATATATATATATATATATATATATATATATATATATATATATATATATATATATATATATATATATACTTAGTTTATTGCATTCTAACTAATTATTGTGCGGATGTAGATTGATTATAGCCCAATAATTTTATTTATTTTAAGAAAGTGATTAATACATATTATTAAACTAAAGATAATTAAAAAATATCATTTAATTACATTTTAAAGGTATTTTAATCAATTAACATAAATTTAAAAAAGGAAAACTGCAGATTTTAAGGAATGATGGATTCTCTAAACTTTAAAAATTTGATTTTTTAGATAATAAATATATTAATTCGGACATTCTAAAAGAATGTGTTTATCATTATCTTGAAAAAATATTAAATTCTGACAG